TTAACATTGTTGTTTTGTGTTGTAACGGCGAAAAGCACACGTAAGCACTGTGTATCTCCATTTAGTTACATCATAAATCTCATCACAACAAAAATTCGCACGTGGTTGAAAAGTCATACCGGAAGATTTTAGTCCGAGGTCTGTACTCTGTAAAAACCGTAGCAACAAGCACCTCTTTTCGGGTGGTTACAACTTATCACTGCAATGCTCTTTTCGTCTTGCACTGAATTTTACAGCTGATGAATTTACCGGCTGCGCAACAGCTTACCGGACGATGGGTTGTTGATGCTCGCTTCTTGGGTTAAGGGGAAACTACATGCTGCTATGTTAGGCAGCGTGTTGGCGGTGGTGAGTGATTGTGGTGGTGATTAATGATCTGGTACTTCATTATGAGATTGGAAAAGTTCAGTTATTATGATGCCCAAGAGAAATGAAACCATTTATGTCGATAATTGGACCCATTCTGTCCAATTGATTTCGTAACCAGAAGCGGCCGTTTTTTTTCTCTCTAAAATTAACATACATATTGTAGTTTGAATGATGACGTAAAACTTCATGTTTTTAAATAGATGGTCTTATCTTAAATTTATGATATTTTGATCACTTAATTATAATCCCAAATCTAAGATTATTTTTTTTTTATCTAGTTCGTTTATTTGTAAGGCTCAATCGCGTTAGCTTTACGGAGCCGATAATTCATTGTTCTTTGTTTGTAACAAAATTCACTTAATTCTATGTCTAGTAGGAGTTGGGCCGGATACTCGCGGCTTACTCGAGGTTAGAGGGGTACATTGTCGAAGGATAGGAAAAGGGGAGGAGCTTGGGAGTAGGGTATCGTTGCCTCATCAGAGCGTTGTCGCCAGTGTGAACGGTAGTGTGGTTCTAGATTCGTCTGGAGTTCGACCGGCTATGGTGACCAGTGGGCGACGATGAGGCTCATCGAGATGGGGGACAAGACAAACAAAAACTAATAAAGAGATACAAAAGACAAACGAATTAAATTCTTATACTAGACATTTGCAAAAACACATAAATCGACTAAATCTAAGATTATTCGTGTAACTTGGGTGCTCATGTTACTACAGCTACTTACAAAATTGAAATCAAATTAAGAGTTGTTGTATGCCTCTGGAGGATCCCTTAGGTCAGTCTGCCAAGCCGCAGCTACAAATCGTCTCCCATATTTTCCCTCGAGTTTACATAGCTGTCATGTTAACCACGAGGTAAATATCTAGTACCTCAGCTTTCAATTATTTATTTTTTACTGATTATCATAATATTTTGCATAAATCACATGAAAAGTCAGCAAAAACCATAAAACCTACCAAACTTTAAAACAAATCGAATATCACGTAAACTAGTAGCTAGATAGCTAGTCTCAAGCATCATCTGTTGGTTATCTGTGTAATTACAGATGATTAGGCAAAAACGAAGTAGCTACCGCGGGCAGTCAATCAAGCTCATGCTCATGCTCTTATTTGACTGCCCTTTTTTCAAACTGTTACTTCTTAAAGTACAATGAACTAAATCATTGAAATTTTACACATTTTTAGTCAACATATTGATTTTGATGTATATCCTGAATAACTAAAGCTCACTGAACCTTTTTTGAGAGTAAAATAAAATTGTGATGATATATACTTTTGTTCGAAAAAAAAAACAAAAATGTTTACGGTAGAATACAAAAAGATCGAAGAGGAACACGATCCTACTGGTAAGAATACAAAAGCAATTGATTTATTCCAATTTTGAACAACAAAACTTATTTAATAAAAATGATGTGGGGAATCCATTTTTGGTATTATTTTTTTAATTTTTTTTTAAATTGAATGTGTTATAAAATGCTATGAAAACAAACAAAAAATAAGACAATATTTTTAGGCACCATCTGACTTTTTCCAGCAGTATTTAGCAGCAAAAACAAATTTTAAAATCTAAGGACGTTCCCCTTAACGAAATTTAATGTTCAAATTGTTTAACATATATTTGCAGTGTTTTTTTCTCCAAGTGTATTTTTTTAAAGTTGATAATACTTATACAACTTCTTATTAGGTGTGTCCTGTTAATCAAATTAGGCACTTCCAAATTATGATTTCTTTTTGAAAAAAAAAAAGAAAAAAAAACATTTGTTTTAATACGCCTTTTTAGAAACCAACTCTAAAAAAAGCGGACATATTTTTATGCAATCTTGGGTAGCAACCAACATATGTGCAAAGTTTCATTCAAATAGGAGAAGAACCGGTTTGCTATTTGTAAAGTAAGAAATTCACTTCCAAACTAATGACAACAGTCGTTGAAGCTCTATAATTGTTGGTTTTAACGATGATATTGAAGGGCTATTGAAAGCAAGTAAAATAAAATTGAAATTTATGCAGTAATATATACTACTTTTCTGTTCAGGAAAAATCATCATCCTGGTCATCAATTTGCCTCTGGATTACGGTACCTACAACAGTACGATTCATACAAAAAAAAAAAAAAACCCCTCGTTTTTTGTCTCTCCATGAATGTTTAAAACGATATTATTTTTCAGTATGCGCATCAAATTTCAGATATTTTGGCTGTTAGTTCAATAAATATTTTGGGTTTATTAGTAAAGTTTGTGACTTGATTGGCCAAGTCTGAAAGAAGATAAAGAAATTTTGGTGGAATGCCTTTTATTTGACTACCAATTTTCTGTTATTTCTTTAAGTACCCTCAATTCTGTTTTCACGCGATATTTTTTCCTTCCGTAGTTTTGAACGTGGTGCCTCAAGTTGCTACCAAATTTTGTGCAAATGTCAGGGCTGGTAGCAGGTCACTTTTTAGTGACTTGGTCACTTTTTTAAAGCCAGTCACTTTTTACACCAAAAAGTCACTAAAGTCACTATTTGCCTAAAAATAGTCACTTTAGTCACTTTTTCACTACTAAAATAGAGTGAAATTTAAAAATATCAACAAAATGTTTAAATTGAGTACTTGGCACTAAGAAAGTATACAGCAGTTTAACAAAATATACATATCTGTTAAAAAATTGATAATTTTAACCAGGGTGACCAGTGAACCGCAAAATTTTTGAACACCAGTAAATCTATTGGGAAATGCCTACAATTTCGATTAAAAATCCGGAAAAATATACCTCCTTTCCCAGAAAATAAATTGTAACTTTCCAAAGGTATTTGTCTGTGATGGATTTCAAAAGTCTTTCAAGGATGATTAAGAACTTTAAAAAATCCAAAGTAAATTTTAAGAGAATTTAAAAGGATTCTAGGATATATCGGAGAAGAATACCAAAGTACAGACTACGAAAGTCTCATGTAAAATTAAGCGCTCTGAGGACCGATTTCTTCTTCTCCGCTTAAATCTTAAGCCAGGTTTACCTATATAGTTAAACTTGGCTTAACACATACGAGCGTCGCTTTTGATTATTGTTTAAATTATTAGAGACGCAAAATTCAGCTCCGAAACAATTTTGGAAATAATTCTAATATAATTGAGAGTGCATTTTATCTAGAGATCTGAGAAGAATTCTATGATGATTGGATGAGGATTCTAATTCTAATAAGAATTCAAAATTATTTCTGAAATGTTGCTTAAGTGGACTCTGATGAAAATTCCATGAAAATCCCGTGAACTCCAAAGATGGTCTCTGTGGATAATTCTAAAATAATTCTTGGGTGATTTCTGACGATACTTCAAAGAGAATTTTAAAGAGTTCGAAATAAATTACGAGAAGAATTTCAATTGAATCGAATTTTGAGGGTTCAATACCAACGGAATTCTGAGAAGAGTTTCAAAGCTTGTGATGGATTTTTGTTTTGAGAATTCTGAGGATTCTTAGGAGAATATGAATTGAATTTACAATTGAATGCAAGGGAGAAGTCCAAGATTATTCTAAGCAAAAATTTGTGAAATTTCTGAGGTTAATTGCATGGAAATTCTAAGGATGGATTTATGGAAGGAGCCTTCAGGGAGTTCCTAGAAGAATCAATAAAAAATCGAAAATAATCTACTTTACTTTCATCTCCTCATTTGTCGTTTACAAAGTCCATTTTAATTCTGATATTTATTAAGCATTTCCAACTTCGAAAATAATCTATTCTACGAAAATAATTTCAAGAATGCAATATTATGTTTGCAAATGCTTATTTGCCTCTAAGTTTAAGAGAACGTAAATTATTCTAAAAAAGTTCTAGAGATCATTCTGAAGAAATTCTGCGAAAAGTTCATAGCAAATTATTAAAGTTATCTACTTAGATATATCAAATATTTAAAGATTTCGAACGCAGAATCAAATTCAAGATCATAAAAAATGGGAATTACTATTTGCTAGTCATCATGTATAACGTAAGCAAAAGTAAATTATTCAAATCACTTCAAATGCTCTTCACAGGAGATTCCGTTGTGAGATTCGATTAAATTAGAGAAATGTATGAAATTTGATTTTGAGTTCCATGACATACCAAGTTTATTTCAATATCAAACCGTATTTGAATTTCTAAGTTACCATATAAATGGTTACTTATTTAGTATTTACAAGTCACTATTTGGTCACTATTTCCGTAATTTTAGTCACAAAAGTCACTACTATTATATCGCATCAGCACTACCAGCCCTGAAATGTTTAAAAAAATAATAAAAAAATCAAAGAAAAATATTGTGGTAGGTATTGAACTTTCTATACTAATCCTCAATGAGCAAAATGGGGTAAAAGCAGATTTGAGTGTATCCAAATTAGCTAAAATTTTTATCGTTTGTAGCTGCTTAAAATTTGCATAAATCTGTTCGCGACAAAAAACGTTACATTTTTTTTCAAAATAAAAAAAATATGGTAAAATTTAACATTATTTTGGAATCCAAGCTAATGACTGGCTTTCAACAAGCCTAAAGTACACTTCGATATGGGTATATATATTTTTTACATTCTGGTGATAGTAGCCCCGTTGGGAATAGTTAAACAATGAATAGTTATGCCATACTGTTTTTTTTTCTTAATCATGTTTTTTTTTTATTTATTTCAGGTGGTGCATGGTGTGCAACTAGAACCACTACATGTGATACGAAAACGAAGCCTAGATCAGCCGCTTCGAATATTACTAGTCTACGATGAGTCCGTGTATCGGTTAGATTCGGATAAATTTGCTCTTATCAATGTAAGTAGATAACCTGATGCCTGGAAGAGTTTCATTGGAAGCTATATCAAATTATCATTTCGTATCTTCATTTCTAGGATACAATCTTGCCGGAGGCCGTCCGATTCTGGGAACAAGCACTGATGGTTCGCCAAACAAAAGAGATAATAAGACTGAATCGAAAGTGTGAAAGCAGCCAGGTATTTGTGAAAAATTCGCTCACCTACTGTATCGATTCCTGTAAACCCGTGACACTTTGCGGTGAAGTTCAAGTACCGGAGGACCATTTGGATGTAACTGACGGTTATTGTATTGCTTTTTTATTCAGTATTAATAATTATACCATTAATTTTAGGTATGCCGCGTTTGCAATTCTACAGGTCAAGATTGTCGTGAAGATAGCAGAACAGTTGCCGGGCTGGGAATTTCAAATGCAGATTTCGTATTTTATGTATCCGCTCGGCAATCGGACAGATGTCACAAGGGTTTAACAGTGGCATATGCAGCTCATTGTCAACAAGAAGCTGCGCTTGATCGGCCTATAGCAGGACATGCCAATCTTTGTCCTGAAAGTATAAGCACAAAGCCTCAAGAACTGCAAACGCTTCTTTCAACCGTAAAACATGAAATTCTTCATGCCTTGGGGTTTTCAGTAAGTCTGTACGCCTTTTTTCGAGATGATGAGGGAAATCCCCGAACGCCACGTAAACCCGATACTGGAAAGCCATATTTAAATGAAAAGTAAGATATATTTTGAAGTAAATATTCTTTTATTCCTTTCTCAACACGTTTTTGCTACAGATTACAAATTCACCAGTGGAGCGAAGACACCATTAAAAAAATAGTTCGTGATCAATGGGCGGTACGTGGAGGATACACCAAAAGGACAATTGATATGTTGGTAACTCCTCGCGTCACGCAGGAGGTCCGGGATCATTTCAGTTGTCAGCAGCTTGAAGGCGCTGAATTAGAAGATCAAGGTGGAGAAGGTACAGCATTGACACACTGGGAAAAGCGAGTGCTAGAGGTATTTGTTTTCATTTGCTTTGAGATTTCCACTAACAATCAACTTTATTTTTAGAATGAAGCTATGACTGGAACCCACACGCAAAGCTCGGCTTTTTCGCGAATTACGTTAGCACTGATGGAAGATTCAGGTTGGTACAAAGCAAACTACAGCATGGCCTCACCTCTCTCCTGGGGCCGAGGGCTAGGGTGTAACTTTGCGATGAAAAGTTGCAAAGATTGGATAACAGCCAACAATGCAAGGTGGGTACAGTAGGTAATAAATTGGATATTGATTATTTTAAGTGAAATTACAATATGTGAAGTGGTTAATCATGTTGGGTAGCACATCTGTGACGTAAAACGATGTTTTTTTTTTTTAATTATCGGACAAAATGGGCCGAAGGGTCTCTGAATGTTGTGAAATTTTGCGTACGGGTAGAGTTTATGTTTACTAGGGTGCCGGTGCCGTTGGCCTAGTGGTAAACGTGATTGGCTTTCACCCTAAAGGGTCTGGGTTTTATCCTAGTAGGCGCCGCCGGGTTTTTCTGAGGCATGAAATATCGGATCACGTCTTTCTTCGGGAAGTAAAGTCGTTGGTCCCCGGTCCATGAGTTGATGGGTCGATATGGTAGGGTCTAGGTGTGGGAGCTGCCTCCCTGGCATCAGTAGCAATGATAATCAGTACGTTAAACAAATCAAGGAAAAAAACAAATATATTGCTAGCCGGCACCGGTGCACAGTGGTTACCCGTAGAACAAAAGTTGGCCAAAACCTCGAAATTGTTGCAAATAGGCAAAACAAACAAAAAAACAGTTGAAATAGATGTTTTTTAGCTGTACGGAGAAAACTTGACAATCAAGACGTCACAAAAAGGAGTATAGTAGAACCAAAACCAATGCACAATGGTCCCAAAGACGTATTTAGGAAAACAAAAATGTTTGCGCCCAAACCGTCAGTTTTAGGTATATGGTTTCTTAGGAAAAGTTGCTTCATATTTATTGTTCAATCTTTTTATGTTCGTAAAATTAGGGTGGTCTATAAAATTGATGAATTGAAAATACAAACTTTTTATCATTTGAGATAGACCAAAGCAGTGTTCTAAACAGTTGTAGAACAATAAATTCAAAGCAACTTTGTTGAAGACACAACGTTTTTTCCTCTTATGGTTCATGACTTATGATTTTTTCAAACAAGCAGTTTAGGGTGGCCACTGAAATCGGTTTTCTTTGAATATCTTTTCATGGGTTAATTTTTCGTAAAAAACATTGTCCTGATTACTTTTAGAACTTTTGATGACGCATATTTTTGCTCAAGCAACTAGGTTACTATCTTTTTCGATTAGAAAGTTAAAGGCTATTTTCTTCGAAAAAATGGCTCTTTTCAATTGTCAATATCTCAAACTGAAGCATTGAAAGCATCGTTTTTTCTTCATTGTTGGTTAAAAAAACTGCAAGAGCTTTTTCTGTTCAAAGTATTTAATTTAATTTATAAAAAAGTAATATTTTTCAGCAAAACCTAGCCATACATTTTCAAATAAAAGAGATAAAAACTTAGCAAAAATATGCGTCATAAAAAGTTCTTAGAGTTTTTTTAATAATGCGTTTATTTTTCCAGGCTCATTTGCTGTAGCTTAAGGGAGCCGATATTCATTGTTTAAATAACAAAATTACTTAAAACTAACGTTAGTAAAGCGGTGCCGATTACTCGCGACTATCTCGAGGTTAGGAGTAACAAATTGTAACAAATAGGTGGCAGTGTAGGGATTGAGAACACAAGGTTTGTAGCAGTTCTTAAAGTGTCTAGCATAAAAATTTCACGAGAAATGAACGTATAAAAAGATATTTAAAGAATGCCGATTATCTAGGGGCCACCCTAACCTGCATGTTTAAAAAAAAATCAAAGCTCATGAAGCATAAGAGATAGATATATGGTGCGTGTGAGTATGTGTGTGCTTTGAAAAAGGCATTGTGAAGCTTGCTACAGTATACACCACAGATTATAAAACTAAAAAACGGATATTTTCCAAAGAACACTTTACTTGTTATTCCTAATTTCAACATCTTTCGCAAAAAATCGCAAGACACATTAAAGCCTATCTGAAAGCTAACTTTTCTAGCTATCTTTTGGCTACTAAAAAAATAGTGGTGGATGTGTCCGTCATATGTTTTGCTTAGTCTAAATGTGAAAAAAGTATATTTTTGCTAATTTTTTAATAGAAACTGTCACTTAAAACAGTGCAGACACTCTTTTTTACCATGCATTTGATGTGAAATAAACCGAGGAATATTTCTTCTGAAGCAACCAAGTTGATAAACACTTAATTTTTTGCTATATTTTTAGCAAAACAGTAACAAGAAAAAATACGATTTTTTTTTCAAAAAAAAATGTGATATGGCTACTCTATAACAACCATAAAAAATATGTAATCAACAAAACTGCACAAATCATTCAATTTAAGATACTCTTAATATGTAAAAATGATCAAAAAATATTGAAATTAAAAAATGACAACTATAATTTTTAAGGTTTTGGCCAGCCAAGAACCACTGTGCGGTGGTGTAGCGGTAAGCGTGACTGCTTTCTCACGCCAATGGGCCTGGGTTCAATCCCAGCCGAGGTTGGTGGGATTTTTCTGACGCATTAAAATCTCTGGTCACGTCTTCCTTCGGAAGGGGAAGTAAAGTCGTTGGTCCCGGCCCATGTGAGTTGAATGTTGAATGAGTGCGATATCCTACGCAGGTTTGGAAGATGCCTTCCTGCACATTCGACTGCCGTCAATGGGTGGCAATCGCTGTCCGTCGGTGATTGGCACTAGATTGCGGAACAGAGACCGACGTTAAAAAAATATATATTGCTCATGTTGCTCTAGTTGCCATTCTTTTAAGGGTTTCTCCTATAGCATCGCAAGGGCCTTTGTCGTGTGAAGCAGCAAACAAATGCCATTCAATTTTTACGTTGTGTCTGTCCTTGATCCCACAAATAGACATGTGCAAGGATCAACGGAAGTTCACGCACTAAAAAAAATGACACAACTGCGGGGCCATTTTTACTAAAAATGCTCGCGTATCATTTGAAAAGGGCATATCAACGTTTATAAACAACTTGCTAAGCCCTTTTTCACGCGAACCCTAGTACGCCATTTTAAGTGCATCAATGGCAAATTTTTCGTGGCATTTTAATATTAAACGACATTAACATATAAGGGGTCCTGAAAACTTGTTTTATTTAGCGGAATTTCAGTTGAAGGATATTCGGCTTACAATCCTTCACTAGTCAGATTTTGAATGCACCTCTTGTTGCAATATTGCCCATAATTAGCCGAAACGAAATTTAAAGGAAGCAACTTTTATTTCGTTTACGGCACAATATATTAAACTTCGAGGTTATAAACAATCGATATGTTTTAATTCTTTTTGTATTTCAAATTCAAATCAATTTACATTCATGTTTTAACTAGGTACTCCAGCTACAAAAGTAACGTACGGATATATGTACCTATGTTTTTTTTTCGTTACTAACATGAAAGTTCATTTATCGTGTTGGCTCAAGAGTAATATTTAAAAAGGGTATATTTGTTTTCACATACACTAACTTAAAAATTTGGTTCTCAGAAGAAGCTGTAAAGAATGTATTGAGATTTGTAGAAAAATATAAACTGCTAAAGCTTACAACGTTGGATTTTTTATTTATGACTTAGTCATAACTAGCATGTTGCTCTAGTTATTCTAGGATGAACTAACTTTAGATAAAGATGTCCTAGCTCAACGTCCTAGCTCTTCGGTATTTTGCACAAGGATTTTAGCATCTGATTTGGATTCAGGGAGCCCAAATTTAATAAAATCAGTAACTAGATTTTTCTCGAAAGTAATTTGAGGAGTTTGTCAATTTTACCCCTTACCTATATTTTCAAATTAAAGATTTCAAAACTGTCCTAAAAGTAATCAAAATACTCAATAAGATAAATAATCATTCAGAACGGTTGTTTTTTTTTTTTTTTTATAGTCACTTTAACACTCTTGGGTCATTCGTGACTTGTCCGGGGGTGAGATTTGAACTCGTGACTTTGGCGTGAGAGGTATGGATGTTAACCACTATGCCGGGGTCGCCCCCGCAGAACGGTATACATGACTACTAGTTTGATTACTATAAGTTTGTCAATTTCGTTAAATATATTTATATTTGAAGTGTTAAGGTTTAAGACCGATTTTTTTTTTCATTTCCTCGAGGGCTGCGTAATATATCTGAATTTTAATGGTGATGTAATCATTTATGCATGCAAACTTCCTTTTCCCGTAACTAGCAAGTTGCTAGCAGTGGAAAACAGGAGGTTGTAAAGCTGATCCACCCTAATGTACATACTTGTAAAAACGGTCATGAAAACATGAAAACTTAACAAAACATTTAGGTACTTTATTTGAAAATGTATTAGGTATTCCTTTGGATCTCCCTATGAATTATATATTAACAGTAGGGTATAAGTTTCTGAACGAAATGACGTTGAGATTAGCTGCTAATATCTGGTAACCTGCAAGACAGTATTAAAAAATTATAAAAACGGACGTAAATCCTAAAACAAAGTGATAGCGATTTTCTTCCTTCTGTAAAAATGTGCATTTTCAAAGGATTTACACCTTTGTGGAACATTGAAAAAATACAAAAATCCAAACAGAATGTATGGCAAAAAAAAACGCTTTTTAAGGGGATACCGTTCGTACTTCATTTTCACCCTTTAACTTCGTCTTCAACAAAGTTTCTTAAAATGACTTAGTCTACATCAGTGGTGCTCATGCCCATTCTTTCAATAGCTGTCTCTTTGCTTATGCAAAATAAAGTACTTAAAAATGAAGAAACAGTATAGAAGACATCAAAATCGCTCACGGCGGTGCGTTGACACACAGTAGATTGGGAACATTGTGCAGAACAACTTCATAGGGCTCATAGGGCTAGGTCACCAGCGAAAATCACTGTCCGGCCATACTGCTGCAGGGTTGAGATATAGATTTGGTTTCACAAAACAATAACCAAATTATTAAAATGCCGGATAGTTAGAAAGTTATTGAATACTTAGAGGATATGGGTATCCATTTCATCATAAAAATCATATTTTATTTTAATGGTATAAATATATTCATGTCTGTATTAAGCATACATATCTAAATTGATTGTTTTCTCTACATGCAGCCTAATAGCAGGATTTTCCGATATTGCAAAGTAAATAAAATAAGCGTATTCGAAATTGGGATGTTTTTAAAAAGATTATAATAAACCGTCTTTATATTTTCAGAGGTCGTTCTATTCATCCGTTCTGTGCAAAGGTGAAACGTGATCCGCTGCAAACGGAGTGTACTGACGATCGTAGCTCGGTGGCACTGTGCAATCTTATCCGCCATGAAAGCCCATTGCCTAAACAGTATCAAAATTTCGATTCCCTGGCACATGTTCCCACTGGTGAGGAGGCTTACTATGGAGGATCCGTATCGCTTGCAGACCATTGTCCGTATATTCAAGAGTTTACGTGGCGAAGTAGAAACGTCGTTGTTCGAGGATCACAGTGTCAGTTTGAGGATAACAATCCTAGTAAGTACCAATATTAGTATTCATCGTCCATCCTCAGTAAGAAAATTATGTCTGGTTGAAAAATATAATACATTCGAAAATAGCCAGTACAAGTGCAAGTAGGTACCGTGCAAGTGGTGGTGCTATTTGGTCAGGAACTGCTGCCTACCTGCTTAACTTATATTCGGATTTTGTTTTTTTTTTCAATCAAATAGGGGAATTTACGTATTCTCGGCAACCTAAGCAGCGACCTTCTTTCTATAGCCTTTTTCTCTAAGGAACGCACACATATGCAGTATTGGTTTGTTTACAATCTTTTGCTGCCAGCTGCTCTAACAATTTCAGTCGAAAGAATTGTCAAAAACTGTTTTGAAACGCTTTTACAAAGCTCCAACCTTCTCTAGTGAGAGCGAGTATTGTCGGCAACCAGTTTTTCTTCGGCAACCGTTCCATTTGAACTGCATGTAAATCTGCTGTTCTATTATCGGCAACTTGAAATCAGCTACAATTTGTAGTGCGTGTGTTGCATTTCAAGAAAACCTTGCTAGATTGCTTTTTCTCAGTGGTAAAAATATAGTCAAATTGAAGCTGAAAGCATAAAGAATCGTTTGCATGCATTCAGCGAAGTGTTTTCGTAAGAAAATCCAGTGAAAATAGTGTTTCAATTTGTGTTGTTGAAAATAGTCTGTCATGCCAAAGCCGTCATTTCCCCTATGAAAGAACAGCTATGATCAAAAGAAAAAAATCATACTCGAAGCGCAAGTGCAAGTACTATTTTATAACGCTTAACGATTATTTTGCCATCTTTTTGCATGAGCTGTTGTATTCGAATAACCTAATATTCGAAGATGTTGGTTCTTTCAATAAAATACGAACGAACAGCTCACGTTCAAATGAAATGAAAATAATCATTTATCCTTTAAGTCTCACAAGGTGTTTCTTAATTTAAAAATATCATTCGGTAGAACAAAATATGTTACTTTCTACTCAAATTTATGGATCCAGCTGAAAACAAGAAACACATAATTTTAGGTAGCTCACAGATTTATTGGTAAGATGACTGCACTAAGGGTAATAAATGTAAAAATATTAACTTTTATTTATCACTTTATTTGCTTTAAATACACACATTTTCATTGAACATCGTATCAGTAATTCGTATGACATCAAAGAGTCTCCTGCAAAAAATTAGCATGCATGATGTTTTGGTATGTCGGAAAAAGCATATATCAATACCTGAACAGGAGAAACGCAGCATTAAAAGTTCTTCAAATCTTACAGGATTTTAGATCTTTTTTGAAGTTCTATAAGCCAAACAACATTTTGTGGGATATGTACAAAGATATGTTAAAAACATATTTATCGCTAGCCAAATTGTCCTGGAGATATTTTATAGGTCAACAAAATTTTGCTCGATTTACACTCATAATTTTTGAGCATTTTGTGCTTCACGTAGACTCATAACATCATTTAAATTATAAATTTTGTTTAAAAATAACATTGTTGGATTTTGATCCAAATCATCCAAATCATCCAAATCATCTAGTGAAAGAAAATAATAGACTTTGTGTAATTTTGAGCATTTTTGATACTTTACCACAGTGAAAGATATAATATGAAAATAGTAAACAGATGTGTAAACAAGAGAATATAATTATGTTTATGATATAAACTTGATTGATTCCAACATTGCAAGTTTTATAACGGTTTAAAAGATTCTTCAAAACTAAATTATAGCCTACAAGACTATGATAAATCCAAAATTGTGCAATTTGGGTATTCTCGCATTTTTCCCTTTTTTCCCGGGAAATCAGAATTCCCAGATTTAAAACGAAATCTACTACGAGCTACTTTTAAACGAAATTTCATCTACAATTACAAAATTCCGATGAATGTGGGCGTCTTAGTGAAATACCTGTATAAAGAAAGAGAGTAGGATTAATAATTTCCATTGAATTTCACCAGGGTTGCTTCCACTCACTTGCTATAAAAAGATGTTTTTCGCTATTGTGCAATCAGTAGATGTTATAATGGTATATTGTACTTTTAAGTAACAGGAAGAGGGTGTAAAGTATGTGTATGACTCATAAAACCTGTCAATTTCGCTTTCAGAGCGTCACAATCGGCGATCTTATGATTCGTGAGCGTTCACTCTGAGTGAGCGCTCACGAGTCGTAAAATCGCTGATTGTGACGCACTGGAAGCAATATTGACAGATTTTATGTGTCAAACATATACTTCATGACCTCTTCTTGTAACTTACAAGTACTAATGGGCATTAAACTATTTCATGATTTCATAATTCCCAAAAACATATTATTATAGCAAGTGAGTGGAAGCAACCTTGAATTTCACTACTTTATTTGCTTATCCTGGCCAGATATGCGTATTTCATCTACAATGTGCAGACTTCTTCGATGTGTTGTACTAACCTCGACCCGAAACCAAGTTAGTCCAGCGACGCTTGTTAGAACACTGCGATGAAAACCAAATAAGAAACATGCATTCCTTGACTCATCGCATCAACGGATTCAACAGACCAAAAAGTTTCTCAAAGAGGAACAAAATGTGGTTTCCTTAGTTTGTTGTTACGTTGAGGAAGCCATCCGAATAGCCGTCCTCAGTTTTATAGAGGAAAGTCGATGCAAAGCGGAGGAAGAGCGCACGGCATTGAAAACTGAGTGAAGTTGGAATTTTACTTTTCTCTTTTTCTACTTTATATTGATATAAAATATATCTCTATTTATCAACCTGCTAAACATTCGTTTATGGGTTATGTCAGGAAAATGGTACTTTTTGAATAATTTTACTATAAGTATTTTTTTGTCGGGGAAATGGGACATTCGGGGAAATGGCATTTAGGAAAATGGGGTATTCGTGGTAATGGTGTTCCGGTTTCTGGCGTTCTGGGAAACGATATTGGGGGAAATTACATTCGGGGTAATTCGGACACATTCTAATTTCATCCATATTAATATCCTTTGCTATAAATTTAATTTCAGAACCAGAGAAGAATTTTGCGTTGGAATCATACGGATCGGATTCAAAATGTTTCGACCATAGTGAACATATGTGGGAAGAACGATCCTGTCGGCAGACCCGTGAATGGCAGCACTGGGGATCTGGATGCTATCGATACAAATGTGAACGAGGTCGTCTACATATCATAATTGCGAATTATTCATACGAGTGCTTCTACGCTGGACAAGAACTTACCGTACAGCTGATGGCTGGTGGTTGGTTACATAAGGGGGCGGTAGTATGTCCATCTTGCAAAGAAGTGTGCAATTATGAGTTTGAACAACGCGGAGAACGATGTAAAACTAGCGAAGAAGCACCTCCATCTAGTTATTATCCGAAGAATGAGCTGAAATGTAGCGCAGCTAGTATTGTACGTCCAACGCATAAATTTAATGCATTGATTTCGTTGTTAGCCGTTGGAGTATCAGTTGTAATGCGATTAAGAAGATAACTTTTCATTCCGTACTAGAAAATGTAGAAATCGTACTATTTTAAGTTCATAATTTATGTGAGTCTAACATCATGTGATAGTATTCATCTGTGTTTTTTTGTTTTAAACGCACAAGAGAAGCTTTTATTTAGTTGTAAACTTATTAGTCACTGATTGTAAATATTCGACTATTCTGTAAATAACATTTTTTCATAACAATGAAATAAATTTTAAAGAACAGAGTTTTGTACATAGTTAGGTACTAAAAAGACATCAGCCGTTATTGATAAAGACAGCCAGATGGATCTCACTCTAAATAAATTCCACAACGGTAAGCAAGCGATTTGCCAGAATAAAAAGTTTAGGATATAAGTAGAAAATTTTCTAATTAATGTGCGATGACTTCAATCAGATAAAGTCAAATATACAGAACTGCAATTTTGTTCTATTTGTGCAGGCCTCATTAAATCGGTGCCGTTATAGTTTGACTTTGAAAAGTGAGAAAGTTAGGGATTGAATGTTAAACTGCCAAAGTTTTGTTGATCGAACAATGTAAATAAGGTGTATAAGAATGAATATAGAGATTTCCAATATAATTATAAAATAATTTCTATTTATTCTCGATGCGATTTGCTATTTGGTGACAGGCAGACTCTGTATGCCGTGTTTTGATTCGAAACATATTAGTTTCCGTTGTTGCCTGATGACGATGATAGACAAATCGGCTACCTATCGTTTCCAGATCGACTGGAGTAAGTCATCAGAGTACTAATTGAAAGGGTTATTCGATTATTCGGTGGATCGCGGATATCCGCATAATATTGTTCTGGATAGCCGATTTGTTTTACTGTTTACTGTAGCACGGCTTTATAACATTGACAAATTTTACAAATAAACAATTATATTTTAACATGAATGTTTCAATCAAGAAGTTAAGCAGTAATTCTAGCGAATATTTATCATTTTATCAATACAAATATTTCAACATACTAAACTGGGAGAAAGATTACCATATATCCACGTATGTCATTCTTTGTATCTGTAACGTTGTGTGCTAGCTCCACCCAATAATACCCGACATTATACTAATTGATCATTGTGAATTTGGTAGTACATACTTAAGTTCTAGTGGGGCAAGAGTACCACGTTAACGTTCGTTCTATACATGCCAAATTGTGGATAATTATAGAAGTTTGTATACCGTATTGCAAGTTCATAAATCAGCAATGTAGTTTAAATTAAATCTCGTCAAAAGTTGTTTACGAATTTTTCAAAATGTCTTAAATCTTTTTTTGAAACTGCAATGGGGTAAGAGTGTCCTAAGGGGCAAAAGGGCCAAGTGAAATCGATTAATGCTTGTTTATAAACATAGCCTTTGGAATATTAATTATGCTAAGCTGTTATTGTTTACTCAATTTATCTATTAAATTTTACAATATTATTCAATACATAACAAATGAACCATGTTTACCAATGAAAACGAATGATAAGCATTGTTTGTGATATTTTAGTAAGCTGGTTAAGCCAAATTTGTTGAAAACAAGCTTACAGAAGAGTTAAATCCACAATGCTGCAATTTATTTGACAATTTTGTATAATTTTATTCATAAATGGGGTGGCATTCTTGTCCCGTGTGAAGTTCGTTTTAAAGAAAGTGATTTTTGACCATTTATAGAAAATATTTAGCTATTCCTTGCTATTATTGTTTCAATTAATCGTTAATAGAGATGCCTCAATGCAGGAATTCTTGAAAAAATATGTGGAAATTCGAAAATCCTTATCTTATTATGTCTAATTATTACAAATAATTTCGATTTTCGACCCATCAGCACAACATGAATTTTTGTAAGACTTCATTTTGGACAGAACTTTCTATAATGCTGCATAGGAAAACTAATCATAGTTTCTTGGAGGAGCTAGCATTGCAAATATGTTTATTTTCAAAATTAGTGGGATGACCGAGGGGGTGGCACTCTTGCCCCATATTGCTATCTTACCCCACCTGACCATACTGGCAACTGACTGCAGGGAACAAGCGACTTTTTTTCAAAAAACAATATTACCTAAATAGATTAGAATTAACAATAAAGAGTTAAAAAAAAGGGCGTAACAGCTTTTGTAAACAATGACTTCTAGAAAGTCAAGGCTCGCCCATGTAAATTAACATTACCATCGGGTAGGGAAAGACCTCGCATAATAGGAATGAGGATGATGTTCCAATGTATCTCCAGATACATACAGCTGGAATTAGGTCGTAATGGTATTTGTAAACAATGACTTCTCTTGATGATTTCTAGGAATTCAACACACGTCAACGCAAACCAACATCTGGGTGATGCGGAGTGTTTTTTGTTCAACGTTGGCTGCGCTGAAATAATCGATTAAGCGCCATCAGTTTGCAGGAAAAACTGCCAAACTGCATTTTATGTAAAGCTCACAATGGCAAGTGTAACTAGGCGTCGATGCTGAGGTATGGAGGTCCTGCATGGGTTACAGCGCTGGCAACCAAGCAGAATTTAACAAAACTGAACAGTACGCACCGGCTCATGGCTATGCGAGTCGTGAGTGCGTACAGAACCATCTCGTCGGAGGCAGTATATGTTATCGTCGGAATGATCCCTATCGGTATCACCCTGGCGGAGGACAGCGAATGCTAAAAGCGGAGATTTGAACTCGTGACTTTGGCGTGAGAGGTATGGATGTTAACCACTATGCCGGGGTCGCCCCCGCAGAACGGTATACATGACTACTAGTTTGATTACTATAAGTTTGTCAATTTCGTTAAATATATTTATATTTGAAGTGTTAAGGTTTAAGACCGATTTTTTTTTTCATTTCCTCGAGGGCTGCGTAATATATCTGAATTTTAATGGTGATGTAATCATTTATGCATGCAAACTTCCTTTTCCCGTAACTAGCAAGTTGCTAGCAGTGGAAAACAGGAGGTTGTAAAGCTGATCCACCCTAATGTACATACTTGTAAAAACGGTCATGAAAACATGAAAACTTAACAAAACATTTAGGTACTTTATTTGAAAATGTATTAGGTATTCCTTTGGATCTCCCTATGAATTATATATTAACAGTAGGGTATAAGTTTCTGAACGAAATGACGTTGAGATTAGCTGCTAATATCTGGTAACCTGCAAGACAGTATTAAAAAATTATAAAAACGGACGTAAATCCTAAAACAAAGTGATAGCGATTTTCTTCCTTCTGTAAAAATGTGCATTTTCAAAGGATTTACACCTTTGTGGAACATTGAAAAAATACAAAAATCCAAACAGAATGTATGGCAAAAAAAAACGCTTTTTAAGGGGATACCGTTCGTACTTCATTTTCACCCTTTAACTTCGTCTTCAACAAAGTTTCTTAAAATGACTTAGTCTACATCAGTGGTGCTCATGCCCATTCTTTCAATAGCTGTCTCTTTGCTTATGCAAAATAAAGTACTTAAAAATGAAGAAACAGTATAGAAGACATCAAAATCGCTCACGGCGGTGCGTTGACACACAGTAGATTGGGAACATTGTGCAGAACAACTTCATAGGGCTCATAGGGCTAGGTCACCAGCGAAAATCACTGTCCGGCCATACTGCTGCAGGGTTGAGATATAGATTTGGTTTCACAAAACAATAACCAAATTATTAAAATGCCGGATAGTTAGAAAGTTATTGAATACTTAGAGGATATGGGTATCCATTTCATCATAAAAATCATATTTTATTTTAATGGTATAAATATATTCATGTCTGTATTAAGCATACATATCTAAATTGATTGTTTTCTCTACATGCAGCCTAATAGCAGGATTTTCCGATATTGCAAAGTAAATAAAATAAGCGTATTCGAAATTGGGATGTTTTTAAAAAGATTATAATAAACCGTCTTTATATTTTCAGAGGTCGTTCTATTCATCCGTTCTGTGCAAAGGTGAAACGTGATCCGCTGCAAACGGAGTGTACTGACGATCGTAGCTCGGTGGCACTGTGCAATCTTATCCGCCATGAAAGCCCATTGCCTAAACAGTATCAAAATTTCGATTCCCTGGCACATGTTCCCACTGGTGAGGAGGCTTACTATGGAGGATCCGTATCGCTTGCAGACCATTGTCCGTATATTCAAGAGTTTACGTGGCGAAGTAGAAACGTCGTTGTTCGAGGATCACAGTGTCAGTTTGAGGATAACAATCCTAGTAAGTACCAATATTAGTATTCATCGTCCATCCTCAGTAAGAAAATTATGTCTGGTTGAAAAATATAATACATTCGAAAATAGCCAGTACAAGTGCAAGTAGGTACCGTGCAAGTGGTGGTGCTATTTGGTCAGGAACTGCTGCCTACCTGCTTAACTTATATTCGGATTTTGTTTTTTTTTTCAATCAAATAGGGGAATTTACGTATTCTCGGCAACCTAAGCAGCGACCTTCTTTCTATAGCCTTTTTCTCTAAGGAACGCACACATATGCAGTATTGGTTTGTTTACAATCTTTTGCTGCCAGCTGCTCTAACAATTTCAGTCGAAAGAATTGTCAAAAACTGTTTTGAAACGCTTTTACAAAGCTCCAACCTTCTCTAGTGAGAGCGAGTATTGTCGGCAACCAGTTTTTCTTCGGCAACCGTTCCATTTGAACTGCATGTAAATCTGCTGTTCTATTATCGGCAACTTGAAATCAGCTACAATTTGTAGTGCGTGTGTTGCATTTCAAGAAAACCTTGCTAGATTGCTTTTTCTCAGTGGTAAAAATATAGTCAAATTGAAGCTGAAAGCATAAAGAATCGTTTGCATGCATTCAGCGAAGTGTTTTCGTAAGAAAATCCAGTGAAAATAGTGTTTCAATTTGTGTTGTTGAAAATAGTCTGTCATGCCAAAGCCGTCATTTCCCCTATGAAAGAACAGCTATGATCAAAAGAAAAAAATCATACTCGAAGCGCAAGTGCAAGTACTATTTTATAACGCTTAACGATTATTTTGCCATCTTTTTGCATGAGCTGTTGTATTCGAATAACCTAATATTCGAAGATGTTGGTTCTTTCAATAAAATACGAACGAACAGCTCACGTTCAAATGAAATGAAAATAATCATTTATCCTTTAAGTCTCACAAGGTGTTTCTTAATTTAAAAATATCATTCGGTAGAACAAAATATGTTACTTTCTACTCAAATTTATGGATCCAGCTGAAAACAAGAAACACATAATTTTAGGTAGCTCACAGATTTATTGGTAAGATGACTGCACTAAGGGTAATAAATGTAAAAATATTAACTTTTATTTATCACTTTATTTGCTTTAAATACACACATTTTCATTGAACATCGTATCAGTAATTCGTATGACATCAAAGAGTCTCCTGCAAAAAATTAGCATGCATGATGTTTTGGTATGTCGGAAAAAGCATATATCAATACCTGAACAGGAGAAACGCAGCATTAAAAGTTCTTCAAATCTTACAGGATTTTAGATCTTTTTTGAAGTTCTATAAGCCAAACAACATTTTGTGGGATATGTACAAAGATATGTTAAAAACATATTTATCGCTAGCCAAATTGTCCTGGAGATATTTTATAGGTCAACAAAATTTTGCTCGATTTACACTCAT